GGAGAAACCATGCAACAGTCAGGAAAGATGTTACACTGCCACTCATAGCGAACACTGGCAGGAGGAACTGGCAGGCAAATGCGATGGCTGGCAAAGACGTCTCCAGCCCAATCTTGTACCTCCCTCAGAGAAGCTCTCCCAGTAGAGTAAGGCACAGCCACTGGCTTTCACCATACTACTACGTTACCTGGCACGTTATCTCGTTAGCACTAGCTGTGAACCTATGAATTCGGGGTTGTAAAGACGACTGCAGCTCAATGCATAAATGACAACTTAATGCTGGAAAGGACCTCTGGAAGACATCTGGTTCACAATAACACAGTACAACAAAACAAGAATTTATTTTCAAGTATGACACATTTAGACAGAAGGAAAAAAAAAAACAAAACCAACCCCAGAACTGCAGAACTACTTTTTTTTCTCAAAAAGCTGTTCTTAAAATTTGTGAGATTCCTAAGAACATCAACCTGAGTTTTCATTCATTTTAGACTATCAGTGAGAAAACACACATCAGCTGAGTGACACAGCTGCAATACCAATACTAAGGTAAATAAATAAATACGCACCAACAGTGCTCTCTCACCACTTTCTGTAGTACATTTGAAGATTTATGAAGTACACGTTCTGTTAAAATCACTTCTGGCTAAAGAACACATTCAATACACAGGCTAGAGAGGAGAAAGATCGTCCAGAGAAGCAGAGGGAAGAAAAAGGAATCAAGTGTGCAACCATTCCACAAAATACTTGATTGACTTTTTTTAAATGGCCTAATACAGACATGCCCTTGTTTCTTATATATAACCACCTACAGAAATTCTGGTAGAATCAATTTTAGTTGATGGTATATTACCTGACTGGTTAATACTTTTATTTTCACAAGATGCACTCCTTTTCCTGGTTCCTCCATCACAGGGCTCCTTCTGGCTTTCACTGTCAGACGAACTACACTCTTGAGGACCTTGGTGGGCTACGGTTAGAGCTGCACTGTTCTGCTCTGCTTCCTCCAAATTCAGATTTAAATTACAAATCCCAGAGATTATTTCACTGTGGGGCTCGGCACTTGAAGGTGGTGTTTCCTCACTTCTGGTGTTAGGGGCAGACAGCTCCAAACTCAGCACTTCACCAAGTTCAGCCCCTGGGCTAACCGACTCCATTTTTCCCAAAAGACCTGTCTCCTGGGTAGCTCCATTAGCTTCCACGTTGCCACCGTTTGAGCTCACAATAGTCCATCCTTGACTTGTCCAGTACTGAAACTGTTCCCAGTAATACCAGTACAGTTCGCTATAATGCTGCTCCCACTCTTCCCTGGTGTCTGGACTATTCCAAGGCTCAGAGGCTGTGGTGGCCTCGGATGATGAGACCTCTTGATGCTTCTCCATCCAACTTTGCCAAAGAAGGCCCTCTCCATACTCACTCCAGTACTTCTCCCATTTTTCTTTAAGTTCGCTGGGTAAAGCCTCATTTGCAAGACTTTCTGAATTTTCACAATTCCCTTCACTTATAACCTGAGGTTTGCTGCTGTTCTCATGTTGCTCCGTAGCTAGGGCCGGCTCACCAGAAACGGACTGGATATAACCACCACAGGCTCGATCCTGGCATTTCTGACCCATTTTATCCTCATGTTTTTGCTGTAACTCTTTTTTCTTCTTCTTTTTCTTAATCTTCATGTTACTTCTCTTTCTATAATTTTCTGTTACCTAAAATATAATGGAAAAACATAGGTAGAAGTCCACAATGCAGCCTTTTCTTGTCCTCTCTCCAAGGACGTTTCTGTTTACATTGTAACCTCCCTCTCATTGCAACCTTGTTCTTAGCCTTCTCCCCACAGAAGGTTATAGGGTTTATGGGTCTAATAGGGCCCTGTTGCATAACCTTGGCTGGCATTTCTGAGCAAGTTGTGAGAAAGAGCTGTGAAAAAGTTTGTAGAAAAACACACTTTCAAATAAAAGGCAAAATTGCAGACAGAAGCGACTGCTGAGAGGGAAGTCATTAGTAGCTCAAAGATTCAAGAGGAAAGACGTCAACATGAAACACTATAAAATCCTAAAGGGAGATTAGTCAAGTACTGAAGGGTCACTGGGTTGAGCTCAGCAGTACAACAGTATCTCAGTATCATCAAGGACTTGTTCTGGGGGCCCATAGAGGCTGACCCTTACAATCACCTGGTATCTGCCTGGTGAGCAAACACTGTTCAGGATAGCGAACATACAACATGCAGCCTAATAGATTGTTAAATCCTTGCTACCTTTGATTGCTTTAAACAAAAAAGCATCGCTTTATGCTTAAAAATTCTGTAAATGCTGCAACTGAATCTCTGTATGCTTGCCTAAGGATGCCTGAAGATACTGACCCACAAGAGGGGCGTAATGCTCTTCCCGTCCCGTCCTGATGTCCAAGTTGGCTAACAGAGACATAAGGAAACAGTCTCCTCTCCAAACAGGTGGCCCTTTCATTTGTGCAATATGTTCCTTTCACTTGTTAGAACAAACTCAGACTACTACAGTTGTCTAGCGGAACAGAAGACAGAAACCTGTTACAGAAAGGAACCACTAAGGTAAGTGGTTTCATCAAATACAACTCCACTTGTTTCAGTGGGGCTTCCTGCACGTACAGATAAAAACGAGAGAAAAACATCCAAGAAAAACAAGTTGTTCTATCAGATAAATCTGCCAATTTTTTTTCATAAACTGCCAAATTAAGATTGGCAAGTAAAAAGGTGGAGGTCATGAGGGACTGTAACTCACGTGGGCAAAAGACTGTAAATGTACAGCTATTAATCCATATGTCTCATCAGCTGCAATTCCTAGTTTTGCTGCACTGACAAATGCATATGTTGGACTATAAAGAAGTGAGGTTCGGAGAACTGGTATTAATCCTTCATCCACATCCCTCATCGTATCATGTTAACACACGTAGTGCAAAGCACAATACTTCATAGTAATCTAATAAAATATACGTTATTTTCTCATTCAACTTATTTGCAGTATTACTATGTAACAACAAAAACTGCATGTATACTTTGGGCTTGAAGTTGGATGCCTGTAAGGTCTATTTACATGCCAGCAATTAAAATCATGTACAAGTTCCTCCTATTTATTTACAAATTAATCAGGTCAGAACCTCCCAATGCCAAGAAGGTCTGTATTCCATAAAGTGGCCAATGTGAATATCCCACTGTCTTTTTCCCATCTGTGAACAACTTTAGTTTTCCTCTAAAGCCCAAATGCTTCCTATTGGAAGTAGAGCATCCAAGTCTCACTCCTGCCCTTTGGAACAACCTGGCTTTATCAGCTGCAAGGGGATCCAAGAAACTAGCTTTTTATATTAGCATCTAAAGCTAAACGGTTAAAGCAGACAGTGTGAACACACACAGAGTGTACTAGTTGTCCTGATGCAGAGCATCAATATTACCATGGCTGTTTGAAACTAGCTCTCTCCAGTAGCAAGAGCAATATAGGCATGGAAGCATAAAGCACAGCCTGACTCCGTTTAGTCAAACTGTCAGGTGGATTTTACAAACTGCACAGACCATGGTGCTGTATGTTGCTAGAAGTACCCGAGGCAGGCAGCTTTAAGCCAGCTTCAATACATTTCCATGAACTGCAGTCCAAAAAATAACTGAGGAGTAGACATGCCCCTACGTTTGGAAACACAAAGTAAAAATAAAGCAAATAAAGATTTACCAAAAAGTCCCTGTGGGCAGACTGCCCACCGAACTGAAGAGGCAATCCCATACTCTTCATAAGCTCGGCCTCCGAGTCTAGTTCAATTTCTTCCAGGTCCAGAGCATGATTAGTATCCACCTTTAATGTCACGTTGGGACAACGGTTCTCCTCCTCAGATGCTTGTTCCTCCCCTATTAACAAATTATATTAAGTGAATATAAGCTGATTTTGATACCTCAATGCATCAGCATGGTCTACAAAAATTAGCAGAACTGCCTCTTAAGTTTCCTTTCCCATTTAAAATTTTCCTCATAAATATCTCAATCTCTCCGTAACTGTCAGTAGGAACCAAAAGTCTAACTTTGACAACCAAAACATTGCACTGGGTCTGGCTGGGACGGAGTTTACTTTCTTCATAACAGCCTCTATGGCACTATGTTTGGGATTTGTGGCTAAAACAGCGTGGATAGCACCTCGATGTTTTGGTTATTGCTGAGCTGAGTCTGCACAGCCTCATAATTTTCTCTTTTCCCCACTCTGCCCTCCCCAGCAAGTACGCTGGGATGGGCAAGAGACCAGCAGGGGACACAGCTGGGACTGCTGACCCAAACTGGCCGAAGGGATAGTCCGTACCATATAACGTGTTGTGCAGCAATAAGAACTGGGGTAGAAGGTGTGTGTACTTGAGGTCAATCCACCACAAACATTCACTGCAATAAATTGCAGAGGAAACTACAATAATGCCCAGCAAACAACAGAAAAATCAGTATTATGAAAAGAAAATTCTTCATAGCAGTTCTTTTGGCATGTATCACAGTAAACTTAAAATAAAATAATCTGCCTAGTTTGTTACAAGACTTTCAAAACCACATTAACAAAGATAATACGATTTTACAAAAATGTAATGTGTAAACCACTGAACCTAATAGTCTCAGAAATAACTGATCAACTATTGAATCACTTCTTGCACATCTATCAACTTTTTAAGCAACATCACATGTATGTAAAACGACAAGTACCACCGAAAAAGTAGGTACAGTACACTGATGGAATTTATGAAACGCAAAAGCTCTTGAAACAGTTGTTAAAAGAAAAATAATCCTAAATTTTTAAGAATCTATTTACTGCCAAAGTATCACACAGAAGGCTGTACTGTTTTTAACTAATGACTCTCATCACCAATCAGTCACACCCGCACAAAAACATGGTTTACATTCTCCTTCACTCCATTCACATTGCCTCCATCTAACCTGCGCTATCAATTCCCAAGTTCTATGGACATTCCTTTCTCTTCAGACTTCTTCCTTTCAAATCAAGCTATTATACGAGCCTGGAGCTAGCAAGACACCAATGGAAAAATCAGATACCAAATGAATTATGTTCAGACAGGCGTATGTGAGGAATTTGAGGATGAAGCAAAGGAGCGGTGTTGAATGTGCCAGAGCATGCACCATGACTATTCCTAAAATACAAGCGAGTAGAGACAGACTTACTCCTCTGGCCCTCCTCATATGATTCCTTGTGTGCATGCAAATGGTAATTGTCCCCATCAGGGTTGTTGCTTCTTCTCTGCTTCTGTCCCAGAAGATTAATCAGTAACAGTTAATGTCCTAGGTTAGGGTAGAGGCAGCAGGACAGAAGTGCTCCCAGGCAAACATCTAGGATCTGCAGACCCTTCCTTATATAACTAATTTTGAGTTAGATGAAATTATGATTTGAGAGCAGGTCAGGGACCTGTGAGCTAATCTGCTCTATGTACCAGGTGGATATCATGTGAGCTGGTAAATCTGTCTGGACAGGAATACGCACCACGCTTGGTTTGACATAAACCTCCACATCAAGATTATGGTAACTTGAACGCTACAGAAGTACTAAATTATTATTCACATCTATCTCCATAACAGAAGTACTGAAAACAAGCCAGAAATAAGAACAAAAGTATGGGTTAGCAGTTATACAGTCCTACTGTACCTTAAATAACCACACATAACGCACTTTAAGCATGACCTTCTAGCAGCCTTCCAGTACCTAAAGGGGGCCTACAAGAAAGCTGGAGAGGGACTTTTTACAAGGACATGTAGTGATAGGACAAGGGGCAATGGCTTTAAACTGGAAGAGGGGAGATTTAGATTAGATATAAGGAAGAAATTTTTCACTGTGAGGGCGGTGAGGCATAGGAACAGAGTGCCCAGAGATGTTGTGGCTGTCCCATCCCTGGAAGTGTTCAAGGCCAGGCTGGATGAGGCTTTGAGTAACCTGGTCTAGTGGAACGTATCCCTGTCCACAGCAGGGGGATTGGAACTAGATGATCTTTAAGGTCCCACGACAAAACACTCTATGATTCTATGACCGGATATCATATCGCACAATACATTTTACTACCTTACCTGTACTGTCATTGTCATCTTTAACATAAAATCCTTTTAATCCCAGTTTATATAATTTTCGATCTCTGTAAAAACGAAGACAGACATTGATGCAGAAGGTCATAATTAAAACATTTTTTTTTACAGTAAAAACAATCACTCAGTGGAAAAAAAAAACAGGGACACAGTAAAGTCTCCATTGCTGGAGGTTTCAAGATGCAACTGGCCAGGGTGCCAAATAACCTCATCTACACTTCCCTTCCCAGGAAAGGATGGACCTGATGATCTGTGGAGGCCCCTTCCCATCTGGGCTGCTCTGTGACTCTAAACACACAAAACAAAGAAAAATCTGAAACAGGCAACACTTTAAAGCCTGATGTGAAAGCCTAGATGAGAGACGTTCAGAAAACGCTGCTGCTATGTAGAATACCCCATAGTTAAATTTTAGGCCCACAAAAGATCCTGCTTAAGTGGAATTTAATGTCTTCAGTCCAAAACTGCAAATATCTCAGCCATCACCCAGCGCTGAAAGGTACCTCATCTCTGCAAATGCCTCCGCCAAACACTGAGTGTGTTTTACACTAACAGCTCCGGTAACAGCCATTGCCCCTTCTCCCAAATCGTGCCCCTGCGACAGACCCCCCGCGAGCAGCATCTCTCTCTCCTTCCTTCCCCCCTCGTCGAGAAACTGCTCCTCCCCTCCGGCTCGGGGGGGCTCCGGGTCCCTCCGCGCCCGTCTGGGGACGCGGAGCAGGGGGCGA